CGTCGTTCGCCTGAGCCGGCCCTTGCCTTACCCCAGCTGGCCGGGGGGGGCGCTGTGGTTACATTTGTGGCCTGTGGGGGCGCTGTGGTTCATTTGTAGTCTGTGGGGGGCGCTGTGGTTATCTATGTGGCCTGTGGGGGCGCTGTGGTTACATTTGTGGCCTGTGGGGGGCGCTGTGGTTACCTTTGCTGCTGCTGAGGAAGGCGTTGCAGCCGAAGTCGGTGATCTTCACCACCATGCGGTTGTCCACCACGCAGTTGGTGGACTTCAGGCGGCCGTGGACCTGGATGTTGCTGGAGTGGAGGTAAGACATGCCCTGCAGGGACGCAGCCAGCAACACTGATGAATACAGGCTGTACGGAGCGACACTGGGGCCATAAAGTTTGTTAAAAACATTTTAAAAACTAAAGACATCAATTTGACAGTGAAAAGTAATTAACTACTTTTCAGACTGAAGGTTTTTTTTGGATGTCCAGTGTTTCTTCCATGTTTTTTTTTTTACAGTTGAAATGAAATTTTCCTATTGTAATTGCTTTTTATTTTTAAAATAAATTGCTTTTTATTTTTAAAATAAAAAGCCATTTTTTTTCAGTTTCAAATCTTTTTTTAGGTTGAAAATTATTTTTCAGTTTAAAAAATATTTTCCAGTTTTGAATCTTTTTTCAGCTAAAAAACTGTTTTTCTGTTTTAAATGTTATTCAAAGTTAATTTTTTTAACAAACTTTATGATTGTAATTTAGCTCCATACAGCCAGATGGCACTGCAGCTTCTAAGTAAATAAATTCAATAATCTGTGAAATTTAATTTAACCCTCATGTGATTTAAAACATGTCATTAAAAATTATATTTAAACACTGACTAATATCAAAGAACTTATTGATGATTTTATGATAAATTTGAATATTTTACATATTGGGTTTATCAGCTGTGTGGACTTTTACTTTGAAAGGGACCCTACAAGAGGTACTTTTAGGGGTTTTGTCCACAGAAATCCCAGTAATATACGAGACATTAGCAGCTGTATAATCCCAAAGTACTAAAAAGTCTAAGTGGTGTGAATACTTTCGTAGCGCGGCTCATTAGTCCAGCTGCTGTTATTGATTAAACCTTTCGTTTATGAGCTTCATGCTCTGCGTCACATGAAACCGTTGCCGTCCCGCCGGTTGAGCAATCTGCAAAGTTTCACCTTGGCGATGTCGTACATGACGGAGATCTTGAACTCCCAGTCCATGAACGTGTCCTCTGGGTACGACACTTTGTCGTTCAGCACGTACTGTTGGGGAAACTCCAGTCATTTCTGCCACTCTTCCTGTTTTCTGTGGAAACATGAGCGGGTTGCGGCGCACGTACCCGGAGTGACCCCCGCTCTCCGTACTCAAAGACGCCGAACACGCCCTCGTCCAACCGCACCGTGCCATAAAACTTTGTGAGGTTGTAATAGTCGATGTGCAGAAGCTGCCAGGAAAAAGGAAAGAATCCACGCGCTGGTGAGCTTCGGCAAATATTAACAGAGGCCATAAAAACCTGAGACAAGGGGCAAATAATAGAACACAGACCAGGAGCTACAGAGCTACATTGGGGCCATAGTTTTTTTCAAAACAAGCAAAAAAAAAAAAATTACTGAAAAATAATTTGAAACAAAAATAATCCAAGACTACTTTTAGATTCATGTTTTGTTTTTATTTATTTTTTTTACTTTTTTTTATTTTTTTTATTTTTGTTTCAAGTTTATGGTTTTAAATTTCACATTTTGTGCTGTTTCAAAGATCTTTTGTTTCAAATATTTTATTTCTGTTTAAAAATTTTCTGTTTCAAATCCTTAAAGTTTAACA